TGCTGTATGTCCTATAATATCAAATATTTGGTAAGTTTTAATTATGTTGTCTTTAAATATATTTTTAAATGCGTGTGCTGTGTGTGGTGTATGTATATGCTCATCTGTACACATGTGGTATCTAGACATCAATGTCCAGTGTATTTCTCTTTCAGTCTCTACCTTATTTTTTGAGACAGGATCTCTCACTAAACCTGAAGCTCAATAATTCAGCTAGACAAACTCGCTAGCAAATCCCCAGTCCTTCTGTCCCCACCACAGAGTGCTGCAGATTCTAGGCATGTACCTTTGAACCTGGCTTTTCATGTGGATACTGAGGATGGAACTCAGGTCCTCATGTTTGTGCAGTAAGTACTTTGCCATCTGAGCTGTTTCCCTGGATACCAAAATTTTATTCCTTGTATAAAACCAAATTAGCACATCCATCTCATTAGTAGACAATTTTGTTTATATTTTAAAAAATGGTAAAATTATATATAATTTTATTATATAGTATACATATACAGATATACCAAAGAACTTTTTAAAAACAAATTTCTTTATGATTTAATACCAGTTAATGTTTTATTTGCATACTTATGTTACATACTCAAGGTCACATAAAAATTTCTCAAGCAAAAGGGAGTTGATCACAAGTGGACAAAGTTTAAGAGGCTCTGGTCGAATGTATGATTCCAACTATATGGCAGTCTGGGAAAGGCAGAACTGGAGACTGAGAAAAAAGGGGTTCCCAGAAGTTGTGTTTTAGGGAGAGATGAGTAGGTAGAACCCATAAGACTATGGTGCAGGAAGATAATCTGTGGTTGTATCCGTTACTTTTCTGTTGCTGTGATAAAGCACCATGACCAATGGAACTTATAAAATGAAGAGCTTAGAGTTCTAGCGGGTTCAGGGTCTATCATGGTGGAACAAGAATGTAAGCTATTTTTTAACCAGGTGTGGTGGTACATGCCTTTAATCCCAGCACTCTGGAGGCAGAGGCAGGGGACTTTGTGAGATCGAGGCCAGCAGGGTCTACATAGTGACCAGCTAGGGCTACAGAGAGACCCTGTCTCAAAAAAACAGAAACAAAAAAAAGAATGTAACTATTTTTGTTTTGTCTGTCTAAATATTACAATCTTAACCAGAGACTAGGATCTAACTGAAGAATAACATTACTCTGCTTAAGAGGCTACAAAATCCACTAACCTGGGCTTAGAGATGATTGAAGGAAAACTGGGTGCAAGCAAAGTCAGTCTGAGAATTCTGAGAGGAGCTTTCAGCAGCCCAATACTCATGCCAAATTTTTGGACTTCCACAGGTCACGATTGTTTTGCACTCTATGATCTACAGAGTCTATGTAGGCCATCACTTACATTAGTGGTACAGTAACCTCTGGCAGACGTAATCATTGTAACCTCATAAAGAACAGTGGGTTTTTGCCCCCATAATCTCCTGTCAATCCTTTTCCTCCACACCCAAATGTCTCCACACCTGGTATATTCTTCCTCTTTTATATTCATAGTCTCTCTTTTTTCTCTCTCTCCCTCCCTCCCTGCCTTTTTCCTAAGGTCCAAATTTTCTGTTATGTCATCTTCAAAAGGTTTATAGTTTTACATTTTACATTTATGCATATGAGCCAGTTTTATTTAATTTTGTCTCTAGATTAATTTTTCCAGATGTGGGTATCTTGTTTTCCCTCATAATTTATTGAAGACTATTCTCTTTTCTCTGTATTGCCTTTGCCCCGCTCTCAAAGATCAGTTGACTGTTTCTGTCTGTTTCCATATTGTTTCTGTCTTCTGCCAGTGCTGCTCTGTGTCCACTACTGTGGATTTGTTGAGAGACCTGTCATGGTGGCCGTTCCACTAACACTCTTCTTCGCAGTGTTGTATTGGCTGTTGTGGGTCTTTCTCTTCCTTGTAGATCATAAAATCCAATTTATAAAAAAATACATAAATAAAACCAACCCTGACAGGAATATGATTTGGATTGCATTGATTATATAGAGCAAGTTGAAGTTGAAAAGAATTGGCATCTTGGTAATACTAAGACTTCTTATCTATGAATATGGAATTGTTCCCCATTTATGTACATCTTTGATCTCTTTTATCAGAGTTTTATAATTTTCCATATTTAAATCTTATAAATCTAACAAAATACATTGTTAGTTTTTATGTCTGTATTTTACTTTTTAGTGCTAATTATTTGTTTTTTTAATTTAAACTTCAGTTATTCATTTGAATATACATATGAAATATGTGTAAAAGCAGTTAACGTATATAAATTAGTATCTTCCAACTTTGCTCTAATTGCTTGGTGCCTACAGCTTTTACTTTCATTTCTTCTCATTGTATTATGTAGGCGTCCATTCTGATGTTGAATGAGGTGGAGAGAAACAGCAATTTTGCTTTGATCTTGAGCTTAGATGGAACACATCCAATTTATATGATTTTAGCTATAGCTGTTTTATAGATGTTCTTTATCAAGTTGAAGATGTTCCCACTTTTCCAATTTGTTGAGAATTTCTCTTATTAAAGTGCTGGGTTTTCTTGAATGCTATTTCTATTCCTTTGACAGATTTCTTTTCAATACATTCTTGATATGACAAATAACATTAATTGATTTGTTTAATGTCAAACCAACTTTGTATATATAGAATGAATGTCATTTGAGGTAAAGAATAAATTTTCACAATTTTTGGATTCTTATATCCTCTGTTTTTGTTTTGCATCTGTATCCAGGACAGATAACAGTTTGTTGTTTTTCTTTATTAAAATATTTTTGTCCTGTTTTGTTGTTAGAATGTTGCTGGCTTTATAGAATGAGTTCACAATATGAATTTAGTTTCTTAGAAAATATATAGAGAATTGGTATCATTTTTTACTTAAATATTTCAGTAGAATTCACTATTGAAACCATCTAAACCTGATGTTTTTGTTTTTTAATTATTAACTAAATTTATAGATAAGGTATTTTTTAGAGTATCTATTCTTCCTTTCATGAATTTTGGTAGATTGCATCTTCCAAACAATTAATCCATTTCTCTTGATTTATTGCAGCATTACCATACAAATATTACTGTTATCCCTGAGTAAACCATCTGACTCTTAGAGTTGTCAGACTAGGCCTGAACTACTCTGAACACCCATTCCCCCAGGTGTCACCTGCAGCTGTGCTGCTGAGTCAGGCCTCACTCATAATTTTATTCAAAACTGTTTCTCCAACTTCAGTTGGGGAACTGCAAGCTTGGATCCACCCTCTTATCAGACACCCTCTTGCCCTTTCATTCCTAGGCCTAAAACATCTTCTATGCACAGTGCCATGGCTCAGTGATTTTTGGTTGCAAGGTTAATTAAAACTCATTAGTCCAGATGTGGTCCATTTTATAAGTCTACCATTTATCAAACTTGTCCATAAAGTTGCTGATGATGTTTCCTTTTGGGTGAGGGATGGAGAGTGCTGAGACAAGACCTCAGACAAGACCCAGGCTTCCCTGAAACTCATAATCCTCCTGCCACAGCCCCCAACACTGAACAGCAGGCATCTGCCACCATGTTCAGCTTTTCTTTATTGTTAACATAATATTTTTAAAACTGTCTAATTTTAAACTTTCTCTGGAATTTGGTTTTATATGTTCCAGAATTGTTTTAGTATTTCTTAGTCATGTTCACAATTTTCTGTGCTATGTACCAGGATCTGTCCAATTTAGTTTAATATTTTAACTCTTACAGTAGTTCTTCTATCAGCTTGGTATTACTGACTTCTTTTTAATCCGAGGAGAAAGCTGAGGACCAGAGAAGACAACAAATAGCTCAAAGTTAAAAACTGAATGTATGTGAAAAAAATTCAACCTGAACCTGAATCTTCTGTCTACAGTTAAGCTGAAATCTTTACACTCGTTATAAAAAGTTGCTTTCAGTGAGGAAGGGAAGAGTTATAAACTTTTCTAACCCTGCTATTCATAATACAATTTTAAGCATCTTTTATTTGTACACCATTCACCAGCACATGTTTATAGAATACTGCTTTCTATGAATTGAGTTAGCTCTTGCAGAGATTGTATCCATCAAGGGAAAGTGTTTCCTTTCATGGACTTTGAACTTAAGAACACTAATAAAAATATGCATAATAGTCACACATAGCTTTAAGTACTTGAAAATACTAACTACTCAATCTTTTTAATAACCTTACAGAATAGCAGTATGATTTTCTTTTTATAAGTGAGGAAGCTGATATACCAGTGTAGGTGATAAAGGTTATCCAAATGTGCCAGAGTTGAGGACAGAGCAAAGCAAATGACCAGACTGGTGTTCCTCAGCTCCCACGGAATGGTATAGGGCAGGGCACAAAGGCAGACTAGCTGTTGGTGTGTGAAGCTTTTAAGGTGGCATGATAAGGACTTAAAATCAGTATGATTCAGCATAACTAGCTTTTAGTGAAAGCAAAGCTGAGGAAAGAGGATAGAACAGGTCAAGGTAAAATGTAACCAAGCTCACTGACTAGTGAGACCCTCTCTCAAAAAGACAAAAAAAAGAGCGAGTGAACAAATGTTAAATGTGAGTCTGCTTTTGGTGTCTATATTCCAGTTTAATGTTGTCCCGAGAGTTAAAAAAAAAAAAAAAAAAAAACTGTTTGAAACTCAATGCTGGGTTTATTTAGACATTAGTAGGATATAACAAGCTTAATGATGAGACTCCTCAGACTTTGGCTGTCAGATTTATTCTCTTTTCATTGTTTGGTCCAAAATGTTCCTGGCAAAAAGAGGAGTTGGCTTAAATTCAAGACAGTGGCTAAAGCGTCAATATTTTTCTGCAATTATTTCTTAATATATAGAATCCTAAGTTTGCACATACTAAGTTTACAAATTATAGTGTTTAGTAACTATATAAAATCTAAAATCATGACTTGTTTTTCTTGGTCATCTTTGTAGTATTTGCTGTATTTCCTATGTTACCTCATAGGTCCTCATTTTTCCTGGTATTTGTGCTACTGGAAGGGTCTCCTTACTGTTTTAACAGGAGGAATGCTCAGTGAACTCTCCAAGCTCTCAAGCAAGTTTCACAGTGTGATCCCTGTGCAATCTGGCCCTGAAGACCTGGAGCTGCTGAGCCTTGAAGCACCGTTCCTCATCCAAGGAAATGTGTATCATTATGGGTATGTGTTCAGCTCTGGGGATCAGGTAATGGAACTGTATTTTTACTGTTTTATCCTCCTGGTTACTATATATTCAGTACATACTTATGTATAACAGTTCATATTAGAGAAAGTTCCCAAGTTAAATGATTGAGTTTATGATTTTTCTACTTCACAGTAATACTGATACTATACACATTCGGTATAAACTATACTTTGCATTTGCGGTGTGATCTTTTCTTTGTCTACTGGTATTCGATGCCACACTCAATGGTAGGCCATGGTAGCAATCTATAACTGTCAAGTGCAGGATTAGGAGAGTGAAAAACTGTGCTAAGCTATATGTTCAGTAGTTAAACTACTGAAAGCTTGTTTTTGTTCTGTTTTTTTTTGGTCTTTTTGAGACAGGGCTCCCTGTAGTCCCGTAATATCCTTTATTGCTTTCAATAGAAAGCTAATAATAATTCTCTTCTGAAATAAGCACATTACAAGTCCAGGACTCTTCTATTTAATAACTTACTTTCTAAAACTATGCACACTTTAACAAGGTACTCTAATAGTTAACTGCATTATGTTCATGTCCTTCTGATTTTTTTTTCTCTTCCTAATTTCAGATGTAAGCAGTGTTCAAGCTTGAAACCTATACAAAACCTAAGTTCCCTTGTTGATGAAGGATTATGGGTTCCTTCCGCAGTGGCAGAAGGTTAGCTGGGTTTCCGTGTCCCATGATTTAACTCTCTGTCATTCTACTGATTTGCATTTTAATATGGCTGTATATGGTAACAGTTTACCTTTTCTTAACTAAAACCTATTCAAAGTAAATGTAATGAAAAATGCAGACTAACTGTTCCAGATACTCGATCATTTTCAGCATTCTAATCATAATGCATATTTCATTATCTAATCATTTGTTTACCAGTTACTCTTTGATCACAAATACGGATTGTAAAGAAATCTTTCTAACATTTTAGGACTAAAAAAGATTTTGAGATAGCTTTTACTTTTCTTGCAAGTCATTAGCCAGGACCAAAGAATCTTTATGTATTGAATACATAACTGTGATCACCCAGCCTTTGTTTAAAACTCTATCAGGAACAAGATAATGCTACATTGTAAGGCATGTCCCCTTGATTTTATTAGTCACTTCTATGGGTTCTATCAATTTGTCGTTTTATATTAAATATATATGATAATATTAGATCAAAAAGATGCAGTTACCTATAATATCATGAACTATTACCCCTCTCTAAATGCAGTGGGTTGTTCCACAGTGAATCTGCTACATGAATCTAATAAACTGATACTGGAGAATAAAGGGCGTACATATAAGTTATTTTTCTATATAACAGAAAAATAATAGTAAATTATTTATTTACTAAATAATTTTAGTAAATAGTATTTGCAGCAATACTTTTGACTTTACTGTCATAAAAAGGTGTGGCAAACTTACAATTTGCTCTTTTTTCTTCACTAGCTCTGGGTGTTGTACCTCTGCAGTATGTCTTTGTTATGACTTTTACTCTTGATGATGGAACAGGAGTATTGGAAGCTTATCTCATGGATTATGTAAGTAACAGAGTATCGCCAGAATTCCCTCTGGGTCTCCTGCACGATCAGACAAACCATATAATATATTTTATGTGCATTTATTAACTTACAAAGGAATGAGTACCCAGTGCCTAGCCCCGTGCCTCCGGCAGTGCAGCCATATCATACCGCACCACACTACCATAGTTACCACTAGCATTCGCTCATGCCTCAGGGGCCAGCGATCTTGCCCCAGGTCCACAAGCGTCAGGCCATTCTGTCCTTGAGCTGCTGCTAGCAGCTGAGTGGTCCCATGGCTCCCAGTTTCCCCACAGCTCATGGCTTCTGTTCCAAGATGGCTCCCAGTAGTCCACATTCTGCTGCAGGCCCCACCCCCTTGTAGGAACTAGCCAATTGGGAGACACAGAGCTAGGAAAATATTTGTAACTAAAATTCTCTATTAAAAAATGTAATAGATTCATGTCCAGTTTGCTTTTAAAAGTTTTGAAATAACAAAATATATAAATAAAATGTAACGACATAAATCTAAAATTGTGTGTATGTTATCACTTTTTAATTTTTCATTATAAATCATACTTTTAAAAGGTTTGAGCAATCAGAATTTGAGGAGTCAACCTCCCTATCATGCAGAAATGCTCCCAAGCCACAAAGCCATGTTCTGATTATCTCACTGTACTTTTTAAGCCTCCATAATTTCATATTAGAGGAAATAAAATTTCTTGTTAATGAAGTAGGTATTATTTTATGAATCTGTGGAAAAGTCCAAAAGACTGCTATCCTTTCTGACAAGTGGTAGTAATGTGAGAAGTCCCCAAGTCCACCCTTAGTTGTGATGACTTAGAAGGCCATCCTCTCCTATGGAGCTGTAGTCTGTTATGTTTCCTGCAGCAGCATGTAACAGTGCAGAGGAGTCTTGACAGCTGAGGAAGCTTAGCTAGGCCCTGATGTGGCTCTGTCACATACATGGCATAACTGACTACCCATGTTGCTGATTGCTGTCCTCTTGAGGTCAGGCTGATGCTGCGTGCTCCAAGCTCCTCAACCCTAGATGACACTGTTAGAATATCCAGAGTGACCCATAGCTCCAGTAAACTCCTCTTATAAGGTGTGATGTACTAAAAGCTGAGGGAGACTAGCCCTTTCTTAGGGTAAGATAGTTTTTTAACTTACATAAATCAGAAAATAATTCAAGTTGAGAGAATTTTTCTGCCACTTATTAAGTAAATATTAATTGACCACCTGCTGTGTGCCTTCTGTGTATTGAGGATATAATAATTAGCAAAGCATGAAATACCTCTTTTTCTCTGAAACTTGGAAGAAAAAAATTAATTAAATGTTTACTGTATGTTGTGTGCTTTTATACTTAACTCTAGATTTACTTTCCTGGGTACAAAAAGAATCATCAGCCCTGCTGTTCTGTGACATTAAATCACAGCAATTTAACATCCTATTGTGTATTTGCATCTCAAAACTTTTTAAGACTAAACTAGTAAATCAGGTTTTAGAGTTTAGTACTCTAGTTTCTGAATTCTACAACCTTAATAGAGTGAGATATAATAGATTATTTTAGCAATTACCTCATATTCAAACACTCTTCAGTCTCACTTTTTCAAATGATTAATCTTTCCTTTGTTCATCATAATTTTTAAGGACAAATTCTTCCAGATCCGAGCCTCAGAAGTCCTTACTGATGACAACCTTCAGAGAAGTCTGGACATGATCATGAATATGTTTTGTCCTCCGGGAATAAAAATTGGTAGGTACTATGTAACAGATAGTTCTAGGGCTGGAGAGCTGGATTAGCAGTTAAGAGCACTGACTGCAGGGGCTGGAGAGATGACTCAGCAGTTAAGAACACTGGCTGTTCTTGCAGAAGACCCGGGTTTGAATTCCAGCACCCACATGGCAGCTAAACTCTCCAAAACTCCAGTCCCAGGGGATCCAACAGTCTCTTCTGACCTCCACAGGCATTGTACGACACGGGTGCACTTACCTACATGCAGGCAATACACGCATACACATAAAATAAAAATAATAAATAAAATTTTTAAAAAAGAGGACTCAAGTTCTGTCCACAACTCCAGTTCCAGGAGATCTGGCATCCATGGGTTTACACTCACAGGTGCACTTGCATACATGAAGCCAAGACACACATACACATAAAAATAAATTAATTAATTAGTATTATAAAAGGAACTTCTCTTTCTTTTTATTGAAACAGTGTCTCATGTGCATGTAATCTGTTGACTGTGGAAGAAAAGTTTGAACCCAAGTGAATTGCTGATCAGTGATCATCACTGTTGTCCATGCCCTGAGGAGACAGTAGCCGAGATCAAATAAGCATAAACAAAGGGTTTTTAGGTATTTTGAAATATACTAAAGGAGCAACAGTTTTGGTCTCAAGCATATTTGACACTGAATTTCTGCATAGGAACTTGGTGGCTTAATTTCTACCACACAGGGATGAAATTTCAACAAGAAACACTTTGTAAAATAAATTACACCTGTCCTGTTTGACTACTGGGTTCTCTGTTCAATGTTAATGGGCTTCAGAATTTGTGGATTTTATTTTGGAATGCTTTATAAGCTTTAGTTGTTTCTGTGCAGATAGTTGATTTGTCAACTGGATCTTCTCGGTTATGTGCACCCATTGTACCTGCTGCTGCTCTGGCACATTCCTTCTCTGGTTGTTATTTCTGTCATACTTAAACTTGAAGATCCAAATTATGTTTATCAATAACATTTCTTCCTTACTGCCTCTTTAAGCACTTGCTAATGTAACTTTTATAGGTTCCTTTTTTGTCAGGATTTGTTTTTCGTAGTCTCTTTGGCATTATGTACCAATTCCCAAAAGATGGGAATCTTTGTTGATTGATAGCAAAGTTCAATTTGCATATATTTATTTGTTTCCACTTTTAACTTGTGTTGGCTATTGTAATTATCGTGGAAACATTTCTAGAAATAAGTCTCTGGACCTGGTAGCTTTTGATATAATGTCTAAGTATTTTTCTTTTTCTTCTTTTTTTTTAAAATACTTTATTATTTTTATTTTATATGTATTTGTGTATTGCCTGCATGTAGGTAAGTGCACCCATGTTGTGCGATGCCCGTGGAGAACAGAAGAGGCTGTTGGAGCCCCTGGAACTGGAGTTACGGACAATTGTTAGCTGCCATGTGGGTGCTGGGATTCGAACCTGGGTCTTCTGAAAGAACAGTCAGTGTTCTTAACTGCTGAGCCATCTCTCCAGCCTCTAAGTATTTTTCAAAACTACCTCACATTTTTATAGTTCCACCAGCCATTCAGAGGAGTGCCTCCCTTGTCAAATGGAGTGTCATGTCATTTTAAAAGCCTTTCAGACTTAGAAGAGCCTTTTGTAGAAGTTAGAAATAAGTTCACCATGCCTGTAAGCGAGTGCTGAGGTGACCTCAGTGCTGCCAGCATTGCTGGGCTGCTGTACCTGCCCCTGCTGGGAGGACAGCCAGGCAGGGGAAGGCCCCACCTGATTATAACTTCTTCCACCTTTTTTCGGTCAAAGAAAACCCAGGGTAGGTCGGTGAGCTGTCAGCAGGAAGGAGCATAAGAACTGGGGACGAGACGATGAACACCTTTGCTGTCAAATGTTTTGTAAACGATTTAACCACTTTTGTCTGTGGTTGAGAAAAATTCAAGTTTGTCAAAATTATTAAGTATATGCTTAGTTTTAATAACTAAATCGCATTTTCTTTTGACCTGCAGATACGTATCCATGGTTGGAGTGCTTCATCAAGTCCTATAATGTCACCAGTGGAGTGGAGCAGCAAATTTGCTACCAGATTTTTGACACCACGGTTGCAGAAGATCTTATCTAATGCTGTCATTCAATTTAGCATGTGTGAAATTTTGTGATCTTAGAAAGCATTAGAACTCTTTGTGGGATTCTGAGAAAATACAGAAGACACTTAGCTATTGTTGAAATACCATTCACATTTTCAGTACTTGTTTAGATTTTTTCATATAAAAGGAAAACATTATTATTTATGTCTTGTGAATATATTTTAAATGTCTTGTTGCTCGGGATGTCCAGGGATGATGGCCAGAGTCACAGAAGCGGACAGGCTGAGGACTTTCTTTCCATTTCATTCCGGGAAGCTGTGCTACTGCCCTACAGCAAAAGTCAGTTTTCTGTGGTTCTCCATGTACACACAGCACATGTGTTTCTGTGTATGCTGTTTACCAGCTGAGCTGGGCTTCTTTTCCTGCTGAGATTTCTACCAGCGGTTGGTCTGAGTATGAGTGTGAGATTAGAAAATGTCCTTATCTTCAGTCTCTCTGCTTTTACTGATAAAATCGTGGCAGCAGAAAGCTTTACTTCATCCTGTTCCATCTTAGTCCATATCTGTACACAGGAATTTGTTGGACAAATTTCTGCTTCCAGGAGCTTTGCCTTGCTTTTTTCTAGTTAGCTGAGTTTGGCCTGAAGAAGTACTTGAATGAGCACAGGGTACAAAAATGGTGGCTTGTTTTAAGTAGTTGTGGCAGAATAACACCCTTGTTTGGGTGTTAATATTGCACATTTTAGGGCCAGTGAATCTCTTTGAACCTGTATAGAGTATCTCGAGTTCTTGTTTTTCTCCATAATAATGGAAGTTATTCCATTCTACACCTACTAATAAGGTGATATAATTTATGTTGTTAGTGACTTGCGTATTGTCTTTTTGAATAGTCTTATGTAAAATATGCCTATATTGCAGGGATTGACCAGTCGAATGAGTTGTTAACTCTGTGTTGTAGTCTGCATTTTACGTGACAGTGTTTAACAAATTTAAAATCATGAATATTCACTTTTGCACAAGCATATATGTGTGTATATGCAATACTTATGTATTTACTAAAGACTGAAAAATAATTGATCTGTGCAGCTTAAAATAAATACATGCATGCATTTTTTTGGCTTCATTGATTTGTAAGTGTTTAGTAGTGAAAAGACATGATGAAATAGAGAAATAGGAGCAGGTGCTATAGTCTGAATCTTGAATGTCTCCCAAGTGATCACATATTGAAGCATGGTGACCAACCTGTGGCATAGTTAAGAGAAGGTGGAACCATTAAGATACGGGGCCTATCATGAGTGTCTTGCCTGGAAAGGGGTTTTGGAGGCACTGGCCCCTTCCCGTCTCACTCTTTGCTTCCCACTGCCGTGAGGTGAACAAACCTCCTGTGCCTTTTGTTCCCCCAGGAAGTACTGTGCAAGCACAAGCCCAAAACAGCAGGGCCCAGTGACCATGGCATGAAAATTCTGAGACCATGTGCCCCAGTAAACTTTTCCTCCTCATAAATTATTACAGTATTTTATCACAATAAGTCTAACTGCATGCCAGGTACTGTGCACAGTACTTCATATGCATTTGAACTTCACAACAACCAGTATTTATGACCAGAAGCCTGAATCTTGTTTGAGCAGCTGACTTGAGTAAGGTCTTCTGTTTCTAAATGCTAGCATCGTACTACTGTGTTCAGGTGACCTGTATGACAGGGTGTACTAGAAGCTACCAGCCAGGACTCTGAGACAGATAATTTAAGTCCTGCTCTAATACCTGAAGTAAATGTAAGAGGGACCACTGTTTTCTTGCACTTGTAAACTTTAAACACCTTACTGGATAACCCATCTTCCATGCTCAAAAATCCTAAACTCCAGTTCCTGGGCGCAGTCACACCTTTCTACACCTAACTCCCGTCCTCCCCTATTACAAATTTATCAACTTATTTGAATCAGAGAGAGCCTGATGTTTAGGGATTATAAATCCTTGATTCAAAACTTTCAGGAAGAATAATCACTGAACAAATATGTTTGATATTGCCCATATGCTAGGAATTTAGAGGGGAGATGACTACTTCCTCGGCCTTTAGGAAGCTCCCAGTCTTCCACATTGGCTTCATACCAACCGAATGGAATGCTGTGTCTCAAAGTTTACAAAGGAAGCAGTTATCTGAGTATTTAATGTTTTCTATTTTAGTATAGCATTATTTTATTATACCACTGATAATGTGGCTACCTTAAGCATTCAAGGTAAAATTCATAGTAATCTCTCTCTCTCTCTCTCTCTCTCTCTCTCTCTCTCTCTCTCTCATTTTAAATAAACTTACAATGCCATAGTTTGTTGTGGGGTTTTCCATCATTTTTTCTCCTTTTCAATTTTGAACAAGAGTCCCATCACCACCTAGTGTTTATTCAGTGGTAGTGTATGCCCATTACCCCAATTGGGGAAATAATGTTAAGAGACTGTCAAGGGGGGGTGTAATGTTAGGAGACTGTCAATGGGGGCTGTAATGTTAAGAGATTGTCGGGGGACATATGTTAAGAGACTGTCATTTCTATAGCAAAAAGATGGTAGTTCATCATGCCCAGACCCAATTCTTCTCCTCTTCTGCTGGATACTGGTGAAGTCTTCCTGTCACATTTAAAGTTTCTCACATTTAAGGAAGTACTTTATTATAGCCGCTATCTCAGTTTCCAATTCCTGTAGCATCCTGTGTTTAGACCCCACGGGATTGTCCTGCTTCTCCTGCATTGCTCTATGATGGAGAGGATGCAGGTGTTACAAGCCAGAGGTGCACCCAGCTCACAGGTTCTGTGGCCTCCCTCAACAGTGCTTCAGTGGAAAGAACTACATGCCAGGACACCACACCATTCCACGTGTAGAAACATTTTCTTTAATCCCTGATCACTTTGCACACTGAAAGTTGTTCTAAATGAGTGTACAAAGTGTCAGTGAAACAGACTGAAGGTATCACTGTCTCCCTTAGAAAACTGCCATCACACAGTACAAGGCGGAGGCCCAGTTGCTAACTCAGATCTTGTGTTAAGCCATTTGCAGGTCATGGGAATTGGCCAGAGTTTCCTCCCTGCCCACTGCCTGGATGACTACAGTTCTCTGTCAGACAAAAAACCATACACTTGTCACTAATTTGACTGCCAGGTCAGCCATTGCTTTTCTTTTCTTGAAGTGTTTCTTGGTATCTAGGAAGAAAAAAGTCTAGTTAAATACTCTGGTTATTTTCTGTATTGCTTTAGGTTTTGGCTTTGAATTTTATCAAGTAGTTGTTAAATCCAGAGAGTAATTTTTTTAATAAAAGTAATATATGATTGAGAGCTTTAGACAAATAGCATGTACAGTTTCATTGACCCCAGAGGAAGCCATTTTAGTTTGATATATAATTTTCCAGACCTTTTCTAAGAACAAGTGAGGGTGTATCTATACTTCTCAAAAATAGAATTATGTCTAATTTAATTTCCCCTATAAATAAATCTATAGCCGCTGGGCCCTGATTTTGCCACATTCTCTAGAAATTTTTAGATGATGATTATTTTGGAGGCCTGCCTAGTACAGATTAGAACTGCCATGACATTGTTATCTGGAAATATTCTTTCACACTTTGACACATCTGTGGTATAAACTGTTGTAGGAAGAACACTTGTGAGGCTTTCCTGGAGTCCCAAGCTCAGTAAAGGCTATGACAACTCATCCTGAAGTTCTAGTATCTTTGAGGAAAGAGAACATCCTTTCATCTGCTGGCCCCTCAGGATCCTTTCATGGTTTCTAATCAATCCATCCTCACTCATCAGGAAAAGGGAACTTGGACAGCTAGTAAAATCTAGGTAAAATGATCTGTCTGCATTTACCCTCTGGTGGAAACATCAGAACTCAATAAGCAGAAGCTCAAAAGTGCACTCAGATGAAAGGTTGTGTTTACATCTGGAGGTCAGGAAGTCAGTCAGGAGTGCTGTGTATTATTTTTCCTTGCAGTACTGTGAATTAAACCCTTAAGAAATGTGAGGTGAGTTAGTTTCAAAGTGATGATCTTACAGGGAGATAAATGTCCCTTCCATTCAAGTCTGCATTTGATAAGGATGCAGTGTCCATGTTCCGTTACAGTGCTAGGAATAAAGAATCTCAAGCTGTCTACTGTGAAACACGATGGTTCAGAGACTTTTGCTGCTTTTAGACTGTGGCTACTTCTTAATGAAGGTCTCTTTTTATTTTGTTTTGTACTTAAAATGGAGATCACAGAGTCACACATGGGTAAGAAAGGGTTGGTGGAGTATATGAAGGTGTCTGCATACATGCCTCCATTCTCTGTTTTGAGTCCTTACAGCTACTGTTAGCTACCTGACAACTGTCAAAGCCAGCTGCTTTAACTTGTGCGAGTTTCATTAATCTATTTTTTATAGTATTTTAAAGAGTTGGAGCATGTATCTGTTAAAGAAAAAAAATCTTAACCAATTATTTCCTCAAATACAATTGCAGTTTCTACACCAACATGTTTTTATATATGAAACAATTTTTTTTATATTTCAGAATAGTTTTTCCATCCTTTGAAACAGTAAATTCCCAGAAAAAAAGTCCATTAGTCTTTATATAGACTCTACTTTCCAGCAGACTTTTTCTTCCATTTAGAAAACAATGTCTTAGAATTTAGTCTGTTACCAGCATTAGCTCTTCCATAACTGGCTTTCTTTCCCAAGCTTCCACACCCCCATGACAGTCAATAGATGAATGTATGCATGGTTAATACCAGTTTCTTATGGCACTAGGGGGAAATAAAACTTTGTTTTGTTTTGTGGGGTTTTGCTGTTGCTGTTTTGTTTGTTTTGTGAAGGTCTTACAACCCAAGCTGTCCATGAATTCAGTCCTCCTTCCCTGACATACAAGTACTGAAATTACAGGCATTTACCCCAGGTCCAAGATAATATACTTTAAAATCAAATTATTAACCTGTGTGATCTGGTGAAAACAGCTTGCTGTAGATAGACGTTGTGGTTTTATTTTTGGACAGCAAATTCCATGTTTTTGTCCCTCATTAGATAAGGTTCTAGAAGAGGGAATTTGTCCCTAAATGATGAAATCACTGATACATATTCCTGCACAATGACCAAAGT